TTTGACGCTTCGCCACTCCATGCCTACAGCAGCTGGTATCGCAAGGCAAGCTATGACGAGTGCCGCAAAGAACGTTCCATGTGCTAGCGAGTCGTTGTAGGCTGCTAGTATCAGGGCCTTGATAGCTGGAGTTACACCAGCCGTTAGGTTCGTGGCTCCTGCGTCTAGGATCTTTTGAGGGTCTAAGCTTCCGATTTGCTCCAGTCCAGACGAAAACTTGTGAATGTACAAGTTCTGGCCGACGGCTGTGAAGACTGCGCCACCGAGTGTTTGGAACAGCGAAAGCACTGCCGTGCCGGTTGGAACATCCTCCTTGGGCAGTATGGTTTGCACGGCGATGTTGGGATGTTGCATGGTGCAGCCAACACCGAAACCCACAACGATCTGCGTTCCAATCCACATGGCGTTATCGGTGGTCATCTCCCAAGTGGTAATGAGACCAGCTCCGATAGCCATCATGCCTGAGCCAAGGATCATGAAAGGAGTGTAGTATCCGATGCGCTGTACTAGAGCTCCAGACAAGATCGAGCCGAAGACAACCGAAAGAACGAGCGGAATGGTGTTGATGCCGGATTGCATCGCAGATGCACCTTTGATGGCCTGGAACCAGAGAGGAACGTAGATGGAGACTGTGAGCATAGTCGCGCCTACGCAGAACTGGGATGCACTACCGAACGTAACGCTACGCTGGAAGATGATGCGTGCCGGCAAAGTCGCTGTAGTATGCCTGGTGACGTATTGCCACAACACGAACGCTATCAGCAGCATTGCGAAAGCGACAAGAAGTATAACCATCCGCGGTGAGGTCCAAGGGTAGTCGGCTGCGCCCCACTCCAATGCTAGCAAGAGACAGGTGATCGATGGAAGGAACAATGCGGTGCCCAAGGGATCAAGTTGTCGTATCGTCTCTCCCCACGTTTTGAGTTGCGGCTTCTTTTCATCCAGCTTCAGCAGCAAGCACACTACAAGGAGAGTAAAACCACCGAGCGGGAGGTTGATGTAGAAGCACCATCTGGGTGATGTTAGTATCTGTTTCATATGCGATTTGTTGGCGCTGCTACTAACCTCCAGGTTGCGCTGCTGCTAGTGAACGCACCGCCTAGCAAGGGGCCGGCCACACTTGCGACGCCAAAGCATGCGCCGAAGAGACCCTGCAGCATGGGTCGCTTAGCCAGCGGCACAGTGTTGAACATGATCAGGATCGCGCCGGTGAAGATACCGCTACTCCCCAGGCCCGCAACGGCACGTCCGACGATAAGCATATTGCTGTTCCGCGCAGCGCCACAGATAATACTCCCGAGTTCGAATAAGAAGATGCCGGATAGGAAGACTGGCTTGGTGGGAAAGAAGGTGTATATCCGGCCATACAGCAAGATGAATCCGGCTGCTGTGAGCATGTACGCGCTACCGTACCATCCAATATCGCCAATACTGCTGAACTCGTTCGTGATGGCGGGTATCGCTGGGCCGATGATGGTTCGGTCAAGAGCGACAAGGAAGATGGAGATGTACAGCGAGAGCATTATGATTGCCGTCTTCGCCGTGGACGGGTATGGAGATGGCGCCTTCGGCGCTCCTCTTTGTCGTTCGATGTCGTAAACGGTAGGTGGCTCATCAAAAGGTTCGTCGCTCATCGAATGCGCATCCCGGAGATTACTCCTGCGGTAGTTTCGGTCTTGGTATTTGCCCATTGCAGGGCTGAGAGGTCCGTCCATGATGCTCTCGTCGTCGAATTTGAAGCTGGTGGGACTGGAGTAATTTGTATCGTCATATGGGTCCATTATGACTGGTACGTGATCGCCGTCCTCGGATGTTGAAACCCGTCTTATTGTGTTCCGGCGGAAAGCTGGGTTGGCTGCATTAGCCTCGTTGGCTTCATTCAGCCGCAATATCCCTTCTAGTGCCATTAGAGTGCTTGCCCGCAGGTAAGGTCGGATTTCTTGTAGATCTTCTCGTAGGTTGTTGGTTGTGTAGGAGGTAGCGCAATCCCGCCTCTGCGAGTATGGTTGTGACTGGGCGAGGTCTTTGGCGAGGTCTTGTCCTTGTGCGTTGTAAGAGATGTATGAGGCTGTGCCTAACCGTGCTTGGTCGGTTGCTCGATCGAACGCAGTCTCGCAGTTGTCAGCCAGATCTTGGAGGATATCAGAGATCAAGCTGCGCTCTTCCGAGTTGGTGCGAGCGTGCCATCTGAGCTCGTGTGTAGATTGTGTAGCTTGTGTAGATGGGCGTGATGATATAGATCCAATGATGGAGAGCGCGGCGGGGCGTGCCCCTCGGTACTTCGATATGGACGGAGGAGGCGCCGCCATGATGTTCCCAGCCTCGAGAGTAAGCCTTAGGTATCAATCCGGATATATTGGGTGCGTGCGCTGAAGCCCGATTTGTTGCTTGCAGCCGAACGTACGAGAGGTCCAAAGAAACGAGACGGTAACAATATGCAGAGATATACGGACATGAGCTATAGGGGTGAAGAGTAATATAGTCATAGACAGACGTCGATTCTTTGCATGAACGTTGCATGAACAGTCCAAACAAGAAGCACATCTCAGTAACACATCTAACAGACCAAGGAATATTCCACAGTCGCATCCGCAGCACGACCATGAGGCGCAACGGCGCAGTCAGACGGCGATTACCTCTGGCGAATGCGACATGCTTCTCGCACACCACCCACAGCCATCAAAAGCATCGGAGCGCAAGTTCCAAAACCACCGATGTTGCACAACTTGGCTTTACGCCACAGAGCTTTTCGTGCGCGTCCGATGGCGTCTATTAATATGAACCGGGTAGACCCTGAGCTGTCAGAGGTGGGTAGCTTCATTATGCTGCATGCGCGCACTGCAGCAACTCTCGTGTTGTGTGCAAGGTTATGCAAAGTCAGCGATATGAGGTCGGTGATTACGCTGGGGAGCCGACCGACGCTGCGAGATCATTGAGTTCTGCCGAGACACATCAGACAGCATGTCAGAGGGCTGTGAGGGTTTCTTTGCAAAGTGAACATGATGCAGATGATGGAGCATGACGCGGAGTGACGTCTCAGCTGCTCAGAAAAGCTGGTGGACGATGTTGGCGATGAGAAGAGGACGGAAAAGCAAGTGGGCCTCAGCTCTAGCGTGACGGGATTGCTGACGTGCTCAGAAATACGCATCATGTGAATGGCATCTCTTCGCCTCGCCACTTGCTTGTCCCGTCACAACAAACCCATTATGCATTCGCTGCAGGAGGGCCTCGACTGCAAGTACAAAGATGTCGCGATTCGCATCTGCATCATGCTATTGTCATGAGAATTTGATAGCAGCCCAAGGTCAGTCGCCGGCCCGACATCGCAGCTCAACACATCGTCATAACCGCTCATCACATTTCGACCCCGCGCGACCCTCACACACCCTACTCAGCCCTGCGCAACACCAGAGCCTCTACTGCCAAGATGAAGGCGTTGTGAATGCGACACCTCAATGCGGGTGATCGCCATGATCTTCTCAGGGGGTCCACTTGAGGCAAGCAAGCCCTTCCCGCGGCGGATAGCACGCATAGCCATCTTGGAATGCAGGTACGGTTTCAGAGGCTTCTAGCTTCGCTGGTCTTTTGTCAGTTTGCGGGGTGCATTGTTGTTCAACAGGGGAAGAGTGGAGGCGACCGCAAAAGCAAACGGCGCCCCTGAACCAAGGATGGCAGGACGGATCTGCAAAAGCAAAGTCGCACGCCATACAAGCATAACCCTGAACAGGTCTGGGGTTTACATCAGCATGGAAACGTGCAAAGTAGGTGATACAATGTCGATGTAGGCTCCAGGCCTGTTCGGATTGTTCATACGCTGATGTGGTCGGGGCGGCAAGGCTATGTCGGAACATGACCGCAAGCCTTCATGTCGCGGCATGATGCTGGCGATCGAAAGAGAGGTGGAGTTCAGCCGTTGCTCGTTGAGGTGCAACAGGTACGTCACAATCAGCGGGCCGCGGGTCATGACTTAGAACCTGTGGTGGAGACGGCGGATCAGATACCAGAGCCTAGAGATCGACCCAATATGCGTCAGGAAAGAAACCAACGCGAACTACGTCAACATTGCTTCCACATTCGCCTGTGTCGATGTGTCGATGTGCTGATACTGGTACTCTTGTTCCTCCTTGAGATGGTCTTTGGCTAACATGAAGTAATGGTAATTGATCCATGTAAAGGCGGGTACTTCGATCTGTGCAGTGTAGTTGGCGTATCCGTATTAGATCAAAAGGCTGGACCAGTGTTTTTGGGTCGACGATTGGATACTTGATGTGAACGTAGCTTTGAGGGTGAGGTAGAAGATTCGCCCTCGTGCAGCCTACATCAAGATGAAAACAGACAAAGCTAGCATCCTGGCGTTGACATAGGCTCCAGGGTGTTCAGGTTTTCCTAGGATGAGGTGCCACGACAAGGTACGCGAAGTGGATCAAACATGGAAGGCAAAGCTGGTTTTGAATGAGCGTGGGGTATGCTGACTACAAGTAACAAGAGCTTCGTGATGCATATAAGATTCTCTGGATGAATCTGCTAAAGCAAATGTGGAACAGGCTGCCCATCTCAAGCGAGAAAAACCTGAACAGGTTTGCAGACTACATCAAGACGAAAATGTGCAAAGCGGTTGACCTAACGTCAACGTAGGCTCCTGGGTGTTCAATATTTTACTGGGTTGGCGTATGGCTGCCTTCTTCAATGCCAAAGGGGAGTGTCTGTCATTCTTTGCCGTAACGTTGATGCGTAGATATGTCTCAGTCAATGTCACGAGATATGGCAAGGCCGAGAACTCAATCACGCATATGCAGAACGAGCAGAGTTCGATGACAGGATATTTTATAGACTTGATCTAAAGGTAAAGACAGGAAGTGGAATCAAACGATCGCCGAATCAAATCCGCCCAGAGCTATCCCATCATCGCCCAGATGTGCAGCAGCAGAAGTCTTACGAAATCCGAGAACCATTGCAGAACCACGCTTCATAGAAGAGTGAGTGCTGCTGCAGACCTAATATCAAGCGCCGTGCTCAGTTTCCCAGACTTTCTTCTCCCTTTGGAACTTGCCTAGACAGATGATAGTGTCATCGAAGAGTGGTAGATTGCACATTCCTACGGTGTTGAATTCTTCGAACTCTTCCTTTGTCATACCCGCGGAAGCTGAAACAAATCCTCGATCCATTTGGGCAACCGCGTTGGCCGTTGTCATGCAGTTGCGAAGAGTATTAGAGGTCATGACAGGGGTGTGCCGGTTGTTGGCAGGGGGCCACTCTCCCATGAGCTTCTTGTGCCTCTTCAGACAATCTTCATGGCAGCTCCTGTACGCTCCGTTGCATTGGAAAAATCGGACCTCCTCCAAAGTAGTGTTGCCAATGGATGATTGGATCGATATGGGCGTAGGGTCCCCGGCGTGGTCATCAGCGCAAACACCCAAGCACGTGCTGTAGGTATACTCGTTGTATATGTCGCCAGGGTACCGGTCCTTTTGAGCGGCGAAGGTTGCGGCTTCGAGTGCGTGCAAGGCGGCTTCTTCGTCCCCGTTGGAGTTCTGACGGGCAGCCTTACTCGAGTTAGTACGGGTATGACTTGTGGCTCAGTAAGGAAGACTAACGAGACTGGCGGGAGACGCAGTGAAGGTTGTGGGCTCGGATGCCAGAATAGGCTCCGGCTGTGAGATGAGAGTTAGTCTAAGATCACGGAAGATGGTAGAATTCCTACCTTGGCAATGGTCGAAGTAGTAGGAGCACGAGGTATCATGGCTGTTCTAGCCATGAGGCAGCCATATGCCAACCAGAAGTAGCCTAAGGCTATCATAGTTGTTCGTTGAGAGTGACAATGATGTGATAGCTGGAAATGCCAGGCGAGATGGGGTGAGACAGGTGGATTGAGTGGAGTGAGTGGAGTGAAGATGGTGTGCTGGACCTGTCTACAGGCGTGTCGCGCTCGTTTTATAACAATCAGTCCCGTAACGCAGTTCGGGCTTGAAGACCCTTGGATTAGTTGAGCGCCTCGGGTCGGTCCCCTCCTGGCTCTTGCGGTAATGTTTCGATCGATTTACACGCTCTATTTCCCCCCCTTTCCGTTGTCCGGGTATACGCCAGCCATTGCATGTAGCCACGTTGTTGGCTTACTGTTGACTCCCAGCTCAACGACTTCGGTCTTCTACGATCCAGGGCAAGTAACTCCGCACCCTTAGATCATGATGACTGGTGCTACAGCATTTTACGACAATGAAGTACCCCAGGGTCGCTTGTCCTTGTCATTCGAAGATCATAGACCACGATATCCGTGACACCCGAAGCAAGCAAAGCCGAGTTACAGCGTAATACAGTGGCGGGCCGGTCGGCTTGTGAATGCGCAGCAAGATGGTTCGGATAACTGTGTTCATCGGAATCTGCGCCGACGGGTAGGCACGTTACTGCCACACCACCCACTCTTGTATCGTGAAGGGCCGGATGTTACTTGTTTCCAACTACCTGGGCAGGTAGGCTTGGCGATGGATACCGAAAATTCTGGGGCTTTCTTGTGGTTTATCAACACGCCGTATACTGTCGACTAAAGAGTAATGGAGTCATTTCGTATCAGTGGGAGTAAGAGCACGTCAGCCTAGGGAAACCTAATCAGGTTTGCAGCCTACATCGACATAGAAAGACGCAAAGGAGGTGATCCAACGTGAATGTAGGCTCCAGGCCTATTCAGTTCTTCATTCTTGCGTAAGGTGGCAGGGCAACAGCCTAGGATGCAAGCGCTGTTTCTTGCTGGTTGCTCGTCGTTGGTAAGTCGAGTAATCGCGAATGAGGTCATCGATGGAATGCCAAGTGCCAAGAGTGGGCCGTTCCCGAATCTTCCGCGACATTTGACACTGCATCCACAACATCAATCCGGCACCTTCAAGACTGGCATTACCAAAACACACTCTCCCAACAATTGGGCTTACCCGGAATTCGGCTCTTCGCTGGCGGTACTAGGAATCACATCAGTCAACGCGATGACATCCGAATGGTTGCCGGTTACTACGTCAACACTTCCAAGACCGCTGCGCATGTACAACGCTGCATCATCATTCTTGTCTTGTGAGGGATGAAGGTATGTTATGGCATTATCGGTCTCGAATAGGAACAGATGCTTCCGCATACCCGAGCTCGGCGGTATACTGTGAATGGATGTCTTTCCCGAGAACTGACCCAAAACCCTGGATCAGCTCTTCGACCCTGCGTCCGAGACCACATGCAGGTACTCAGGGTTTCAACAACTTGGAGAGCTAACCTACCTAGGCATGCCGAGAAACGGGCACCCAACCGACATTGGGATCAGTATCTACCCTGTAATCCAACGTCTGACGAGCTGATCACATCGCCGTCCAAGTTATGCCAGTCACATCAATGTCTACTGAAGACTGTTGAGCCTCATCGTGGAGAGCAACGGCGTTTTATTCGCACAGAGACATAGGTGGGACATACATCAATACTCTGTCTACGACCAGCGTGCTTGAAACGCAAGGATCAGTCGGGAAGCTACATCATCATTGAATATGTCAATTCTCGTGTTACTAGACCGATGTATCCCTTTCTATGCATCTTGTTCTCGTGATATGAGCTTGTGACTAGTCACTGGTATTCACAGCTTGCACGCATATCTCCGACACATCATCGCTGACCGTCATCAATTCGAATCGTTGTTCATAATACGCATGGGCAGTATCGAGCCCACCCCACTCGCCTGCACAAGAAGCATCCACGATGCGAGTTCTCCGCGAGATATGTAGCGCTTTCTTATTCTTCAGGACTGCTGCTGGGTCTCCAACCCTAGGCTCCATGGCGTCGCTGAATAGTAGCTTAACGAATGTCACCTCAGAACCGCCAGAAGATCGCCGTGGGCTTGACTGTTTCAACAACCCTTATTGCAATTATACGAACGAGTCCCTTCCAAGCTGGCATACGGATTGCGATTTTCCAAGAATCAACATACGCGTGTGGAGGGAGAATCGTGTCGAAGATTCACTGTGGCTGAACCATAAGTTCATGGACTACTTATCGTTGCAAAAGAACGAGCAGGGTATAGCCACAGATGAGGAGACATTTCCTGCATACATGCTCAAGCGTTATGCCCCGAATGCGGCCCCTAGCAGCATGCTCTGCGATGGACTGGGAATGTGCAGGGTGAGTCTCTTTAAGTTTGTTTGCAATGAGTCTCGCTAACCAAATCGATAGGCTCCGAGCTGCAAAGACATCGGACAACAGCACGATCGGGTCACCAAGCGCCGAGCTATGATGTTCTTCGAATTCGTATCCGGTCTCGACCATTCCTTCCACATCATGAGCGAAGCGACGCAGGACAACTGGCGCCACATCCTTGAGGATATCGAAAATCTTGTCAAGATGTTCACGTACGCCGATGAGCAGCAGGATGCAGCGGCCAAGAAGGAAGCCAAGAAGCAGAGGCGCATAGCACAGATGGAACTGGCCTTTGGTATCATCACAGCAGTTTTCGGGTTACTTGGTGCAGGCATGAACGTTCTGAATTATGAGACCACCAACACTGCGAACGTCCTGAATCGCTTCCTTTGGGGGCAGAGGTCAGCGTCATTTTGGCAGCGCTCGATCAATACATTCACTACATTGGCACGCAACAACGGCCGACTGAGTACCTGGAGAGCGCCTCAGAAACTCTTTAACGGCGAACTCATCGGACCCTTGCAGAGTACGTAACAGCACCGCCATGAGCTTCGCATATGCTAAAATGTCACAGAGCAATGGACGATCGCCAGCGCGGCCTATCTAGGTTTGCAAGGTCTAACGAAGGAGGTCGTCAAGGAGATCAATCACAAGAAGGACATGTAAGATGAACAACACGGCTTGTGGATATCACATTACTAACGTCGACCAGTAAAGGTTTTGAGAAGACTCTCAGCGCGGTAGAAGGCGAGCTGGCGCTACTCGACACTTCCGCCACCGAAGAGGCGCAGAATGCGATGCAAATAATCACCACAGGCGGTACCACTCGAGACGGACACAATATAGTGCACCTGTACAGGTCCTTGTTCTTCTATGGTTCAAATGTTGGATTCCGAGCATGGGCATCTTTCATGATTGAGATGAGATCCTACGCAACGATCGTCAACGCTTTATGGTACGTTGGCCAGTGATCTTGAGGAGCAAATTCTGACAGTGTGCAGGAAGACAGAAGGCGTATACATCGTCGAGTCTTTGGTTAAAAGCGGGGACTGCGACAGCGACGACCGCGGGCCAGCAGACCTCAAAGTCTGCCTGCTCGAACGGCCCGAACGATCATACTGGGTTTATGCCATCTCAAACTACGACGACAAGAAGTTACGGGCCCCTCCAGGGTTGGAATACCTCAACACAACGCACCCATTCCACGGGATCTGGCTCCAAGACGTCGTCCGATCTTCCCTTTGGTGGGTTGAAGTACACAGACCTAGCTCATTGCAACCGGAGTGGGTGCATGACGCATCGTCATCATCTGATTCTGACACCGACACCGACTCTGACTCTGACTTTGACGAGTACGCTATTCCAGCCATCAACATCACTTCCTCTGCCGGAAATACCACGTACCTTGACGACTACGGGAATGTGCCAGGCACGTTTCGCATACCCATCTGCCACAGCTGGAACGGTGAGGCCATCTCGAGTATCAAGAGTAAGCACAAGGTCAACGGACCGTGTCTCTGCGATGCCATGAACCCTCAGGTGGGTAGCTTCTGGGAACAAGCAAACAATTGGACTACAGCAGCCACGAAGTTCTTTGTAAAAGAAGGTGGCTTCTTCAACTTCAACAACTATGGGAAGATCTGTGGAGGCAAGTGTGACCATGTGGGTAGCTGGGCGTCCCTACTAGGCCTTGGTAAAGACGACAAGCCAGCAAAGCACATGAAGAAGGCTTGGGGTCGCCATTGTCATGCCAAGGGGTGGAAGCACTGGCCACTGGGACCGGCACAGTTGGTAGACCCAGACTCTACAACCTCATCGAGCGCACCAGCGGCTTCGGGTACGCCTGACGACCCAGACGTAGCCCCAGAGCCGCCGTTCCAACCGACCCCCACCCGAGATCCTATCGTCCAAGCTACGACCCAGCTGCTCACTCACGAGACACGCTACCCGAAGAACACCCCCAAGAACATCACGCGACAAGGTGACTGCAACGGGCCATACTGTATCGTCGACGCCGTCTACCAGATCACAGAGCAACACTACGAATACACGGTCGACGCTTCAGTGCGACCTAACGACCAAGGTTGCTTCCTTGGCGACCTGTGGTGTTTTGAGCAGTCCGCCCACGACCTCTGCGAACAGTTCGACGATGAAGATGAGATGGCAGCCGAAGCCGAAGCCGAAGCGAATGGAGAAGAGGAAGAGGAGGTCGGCTCAGACGAGGACGAGTATGCGGACTTTATCCAGGACGACGAGACTCCCAATGGCGACGGCACTCCTGGTGGCAACAGCACTTCAGACGGCACCAACGATCCCGAACGTACCGCCATTCCGAACGGCGACAAGAATGCAAACGACCCGAAGAAGGACCCTGCATCCGAGAAGAGCGAAGGTGAGAAGGCACTTGAAGCAGAGACCGACTTGGCCAACAGACGAGCGGCGTGTTTCTGCCCTGGAGTCAACGGTACAGAGGGACAACCCGGTATCAACTGCTCTGCCGGCAAGATCACCACAAAGACAACCACGATCAAAGGCCGCATGAAGCAAACAGTCACCCCCCTGAAGCCGTTTTCTAGCAAACCGACGGCTTCCGGGGGAGCCGGTGGAGCTGCAGGTAAAGCTGCAAGTGGAGCTGCAAGCGGAAGCGGAAGTCAAGTCATTCACTGGGCCACCGTCACGGTAGAGGAGAAGCGAGATATACTGGCTGAAGTGTTGAGTCTGGCTCCGCCTACGGAAGTGCCGAGTCTTGCTATGCCCGTGGAGGTGCCGAGTGTGACTACCCCTATGGCGGCGCCTGTGTTTCTGACTGGTAGCTTCTCTTCATTCGCTGCGTTCCCGACACTGGGTATGGCCTAAGGCACCCCATTTGAGGGAAAGGCTGAACACCCTGGAGCCTACATTGACGCTACGCCTCTATATTTGCTCATCGTTGGTTCAATGTAGGCTTCAGGCCTGTTCAATCTTTTCTTTGTGTGGGGTGGAGGTGTTTTTCGAGTGAGGAGATGGCGGGGTTTGGCGTTCGGGGTGCATGGCCTTGGTGGCTTTGGTTGCGGCGTTCTTCTTTCATCGATACTCTATGGTTCTCTGTTAATGGGGAGAGTTTGAGTATACTGCTTTTCGCGCGGGTAGGAGTCTGGGAATGGGACGAAGTACTGGACTGGGACGGAGTGTGGCGTGGGGTTGTCGACTTACTCTTGATACTGATCCCTTTCTATACCAATCGAGTGTGTCTTATATCTGCTTTGCACCATGATGACTGTACCCGCTGTGACGCCTTGAAGACGATGGGAGTCAACAACATCGCAGTCGCGTGAGTGTCAGTAACGAGATGACCACAGTACCGCGATTACCCATCCACGGCCCACGACTCAGGACTTCCGACCTCCACATGACACCCACACGGTTGGGTGTTATCGAATGAGAAGTATCGCCAATGTAACGTTTATCGAGGCAGCAATACAATGAGAAGTGGAGTATATCAAGCTGATCATTATGCCATGCCGTGCCATGCAATAAGATAAAATATGAAACGCCCCAGCACTTGGCGACGTTTGATCCAAACAACCGGAAAAAGAAGAAGAGATGAGACCTTTGACCAGCAAAAGGGCTGAGTGCGAGGAATGGTAAGACGGAAGGAAAGTAGAGGGTATCATCGCTGTCGTGCATGCGCGAAGTAAGGAAATGAGGACAGAAATTACCGAGAGACATGCGGAGAGACCACCAAACGCCAGAAAATGCCGAGAATGGAAAGATGTTGCCATACCTTTCGAGGCCATAAGAGAGGATGAGAAAACGATCAATCATCCGTAGCGTTCATCTTCCCCATCTCCAACCCCACCTCATCAGTCTTCATCCTCTCGCCATCGGGCCCCCTCCGCCCACCCCCCACAAACCCCCAAAGCCCAATCGCCGCAACCCCCCAAGCAACAACCACAAAAGGAATCATAACCGCCCTTCCAGCGATCTCAATCCCGCATTGCATGCCATAATCTTCCCTTACCATACCCGCACCTTCAACACCCGCGAGCTCACAAGCCCAGGTTTCGAGATCAAAAGTACCGAAGTTGTAGCGGAAGAAGGCCGGGGATTGTTGGGTGGAGGTGGAGGTGGAGGTGGTGTCATTCATGCGGGAAGCGCGGAAGTTGACGAAGCCTTCGCGGAAGTGGGAGGTGTTTTTGTGGGTTACGTAGATGGAGACGAGGGCGAAGAGGACGAGGATGGCGTTGGTGATGTGGAGGAACATTATGTTGCGGCGGAACGCGTAGGATTGCGTCTGTACGGATGTTAGTTGGAGGGGTCTTTCGTCTTGTGTAGGAGTAGGCATACCCTGTTGCCCTTTTTCCAATCTGTTGCGACGAATCCAAGATGTGCGGCTGCGAGACATATGCTTACGGTACCGGCGATAATGGCTAGTTTTGCTGGTACTGCGTATAGCATCCGTGGTAGAGCGGCCATGATGATGGACTCGCCGGGGTCGCCATTCCTTCTTGTCGTCTGGTATTCGAATCCCGTCATACGATTGTCCTCAACGAAGCTATAGGTTAATGCCTTTAGGGCAATGACTGGGACTGCGATGATGAGTAGTAAAGAGAGCGAGATGCTGTATAGCAGCCTTGCGATGCGGTGGTGCGGACATGAGCTGGTATTGAGAGGCTGGTTGAAAACTGGTGGATCATCCTCCTGGACCTGCTTGGTGTGAAATAGCGAGGTGACCTTGTCGGCTGGCGGTGGGAGGGTGAATTTGACTTTTGTCATCTTGGCGGTAACCACGTTTCGACCCTTCACAGAAGGACGAAGTGGAGAAAGGTAAGTATGCCACGAGCGAGAGTATTAGGCGTTAATTCACTGATGTCAAGGAGACAGAAGATTAACATAACATCTGCTCACCGCCGAGACATTGGTCCCAAGAGATGCATGCTTGGATAGTCGCCCGTACCGCATCTACTCCTACCTTATGATGTCTGCTGAGAGTATATCGGCCTGTCAATGCTATCCTACCGGCATAGGGCTGCTTCGTGGCAGCTGTCAAGGATTCGCTTGAACGGTCCAGTACATTTCCGGCCTGTTGTAGATGAATCGCAATGCAACTGACAGGTGTCAAACGGCCGGTTCATCGTGTATTGGTCGTCATGATGTGTCGCGACGGGAAGTGTGTGAGATGCGCAACGCGCACGCTCCACCCACTGCACCGATGATGGTTCTCGCACGTCGCAATAATACCGGCTATTATGTGTTAGAGATATCGCTTGGGTGTTCGCGTAGTTTTCATGGCGATTGAAGCGGGTGTTGACAATATATCAAAGTTGATAGAGCTTGATCTGTCCATGGGTCGCATGGAACACGCATGGAATACCCAGCACGCTGTGTCGATCCTCCGCATAACGATTTCCATCGAGAAGACGCGTCCTGTATCTATTATTGTCTACGAGTTCAGTAATCGTCAGGCAGATGAGACGGTACAAACTGTAGGCTATAGCGGAAGGGCCCATGGAGGGTTTCGGTCGAGGGCGATACTCTGGCGAGCAGACTCTTGATGTTGCTAGACATCGGTGCATTGTGCATTCCGCATATAGAACGTGAAAGCAGAGTGGGGAGTCAGCCGTAGATGTGGGAGGTGAAGAGGAGAGTGAGGTGGCAGTGGTGAAGGATGGCGAGCGGCGGTGATGTCAGACCCTGGGCGCTAAATGTCGAGGAGTCGCGATCAGCCGTCGACGCGTCCACGAGACATTTCAACCAACAACAACAATTCCCCTCTGCGACCCACCATGGCCTTCACAGCGCTTAACAACAAGCCATCGGCACCCATTGTACCCGTGCAAGCACCTGCAGCACCTGCACCATCTGCGCCTGCCCCTGCGCCGGCAGCAGCACCGACGCCCGTTCCCCATCCACAGGAAATTGATGTCGCTTTCGCTAGCAATCATGAGCTGCGCAAGCGCGTACACGCCGCGATAGGTAGGCGATATCTGTCCAATACTCGAATTCCGCTAATGAGTCTTAAGATCAAAACCCAACACAAAGTACACTTTTCCGCGACATTTCGACATACATCCTCAACCAAACCTCGCAGCCCGCCGCTGAGCCAGCGACAAAGAAGCGCAAGATCGAAGAGAGCGTTGCCCCGCAGAACGGCGCATCAAAAACAGGAGGCAGTCTCACGAGCACTTCAACGAAAGCATTCAAGACATACCCAGCCGTCAGCGTCGCGATACCACAACGGAAGAAGTTCACTCTTGAGCTACTGGACAGGAAGGATGGCGGCATAAGAGCCATTGGCGCAAACGGCAATGTCGAATTCGCCATCGCGTGGAAGGACGTCGACCAGGTCTTCTGCCTGCCCATACCCGAGAAGGCGAAGAAACAGCATCATTTCGTCATCATACCAGTACACGGTGATGGCGTGGCACCTGTGCCTGACGAATTGAAGGGCTCACCGCCAGAGCCAATCGTATGGACATTCGAGGAGGCAACAAGAAAGAACATAATCGAAGGCGAAGACCCAGGGCCAACACCTATGGCTGAGGCGATACACCATTGCTTAATACAAGCAGGCACCGGAAAGGAGGTCATCTTCCCCGACGCTGATGAGTTCGCGAGCGCAGTACCAGAAAGCCACAGGAAGGGCGAGAAGGCGTACCACGTCAAGGCGCACAGGGGAAGCAAAGAGGGTACGCTATACCTGAACTCTACAGCACAAAGCCCCTGCTAACACAGTCTAGGCTACCTATTCTTTACCTCCGTAGGTATCCTCTACGGCTTCAAAAAGCCCCTCGCCTTCTTCGACTTCGCCTCTATCGAAAGTATATCCTACACCAATGTCCTGCGCAACACTTTCAACGTCGTCTTCACCACGCCCAACTCCGGGGACATCGAATTCAGCATGCTCGACCAAGCAGACTTCGCCGGCATAAACGAATATGTCCAGAAACACGGCTTGCAGGATGCCAGTCTGGCCGCGGACCGACGCGCAAAGAAACTCAATGTGAATAAGGTGGGCGGCAAGAAGGAGAACGGCGCAGCGGTCGAGGAGGCCGGTGGTGAGGAAGAAGAGAGCGAATTAGAAAAGGCAGAGAGGGAGTTGCAAGACCAGGAGGATGACGAGGAAGAGGATGATGACTTTGATCCTGGGAGTGAGGGCGAGAGCGAAGGTTCAGGTTCGGACAGTGAAGATGAGGATGGTGAGGGTGGTGGATATGAAGAAGGTGATACAGCGGAGGTCGAATACGACGAAGCGGACGATGACAAGATGGAAGACTAGGACTCATCCTTCAAGAGCGCCGTATTCAGAGTTATGGAAGTCGGTGTAGTAAGCTAACATTGTACTACTTCGTATACCCTTCCTTGCCAGTATTACATTCCTTTCACAGTCGCGTGATCGAGATGCCGCACTCCGCCAAGACCAATACAACGACCACTCCTCGCACCCAATGCACTCCAGCTAAACTACTGTACCCTACAATCTACTTCGGTTCAACTAAACACTTCCTTCGCACAACCGGCACAATGACATTGCCTCAGCTCTCCCCACCTGCCCATCGCAACGCACATGAAACACTTCCGACTATCCATAGCATTTACCCGGCCGCATGCGCAGACACAACGGGCGACACCCACACGTCTACATCTCAGACGTCTCTAATCTTCGATTTGCTGAGTAGCCGGTGAACATGCTCATCCCGACCTGGGGAAAATGTAGTGCGTGCCATGTGCAAGACGAGAAGGGCTCACTGTCAGTGGTTGCCTAACGTGGGTTACAGGGTGGAAACGAGCCACTTGATCATGAACACGCGCGTGAAGCGATAGCTAAGGAGCTAAGCATGAAGACGACGATTATGTTGACATGGCGCGGAAGGCTACTGATGCGAACCGGGAAGGTGCTGAGACCCGAGGTCGTGCTGATACACGTATATCGGGTTCTACGCAAGTATACAAGAGTTATGGATGACAGATGAGAGAGACTTGCGTGGTTTGGAGAGCTGAGCGGTGCGTAAGGAAGCTCGAGTTTGTGGGAAAGAATGCCAGGAGCGTCGAGGCCGCAACATGGCAGCTGCGAGCCACCACAGCACGTGGCTCCGTCTTCAAGGGCAAGAACGGCACAAACTTCACGTGTGGACTATCTCACATCACCTCAAGCCTTTTCGAGCGACACGTATCTCTCTCACCCCGACGCCCTCTTAGTTATTACTACACGAAACCTAAACAATCTACACCACACCTCCTCACGATACCTGCCTACACAACGAATCACACACCTATACGCGCCCACACACACACCAGAATCACACCCACCTACCACCCGCGCCGCCCCCAGTTTTGGTAGCAATGAGCATCCTCTTCCTAGCCTGCCTCCTAGCAATCTGTCTCCCAATCCTCTCGGTACAACTCCCCCGCCTATTCCCCCATCTCCAACCCTCCCGATTCTTCCCCCAACTCCAACTCCAACGCCCTCGCTCAGACTCCACAGAAAACCGATCCACGATACACCAACGGCCATCATCCCTACGACGGCGCCTACGACCGCGAAGGCCAGCCCCAACGCCGCGAAGTCAAGAACAACAAGGGGGAGGGCAAGCGACGGACGGTGCGGATAGTGGAGCCAGATCAGAGGAGGGACAGGAGGACGAGGGAGGGGAGACGGGAACGGGGTCAGAGGAGATCCACAGACAGCCGGAGAAGGTGTTGAAAGTGGAGGGGAGTGGGAAGGGGAAGGAGAGGGCGGATGGGAGGGAGACGGGGAGGAAACCTTGGGATCCGCCTGTGAGGGGGATGGGAATGGGACGGAGGGGATTCGGGATGGGAATGAGAGTGGGAATGGGGAGTGAGGGGTTTGATGTGCCGAGTACGCCGCCGAAGAAGACGGGGAGGGAGATGGAGGCGAAGGGTGTGGCGATTCGATTGTTTCCTCCGGATGGGCAGGGCGGGTATACGTACGACCAAGCGCCAAACGACGAGATACCCGAAGTGAATCGCGAGGCCACTCCTCGACCGACACACACCTCCTCTCGAGTCCCGCAAGATGCCGCCTACGACACCATCTCAGACCCCCCACCACAAACCAAGAAAAGCAAACGCAGACCCAGCGCCATGTCCGCCCTCTGGACATGCCTTGCCATCTTAGCAGTCCTGCTCTTCATCCTACTCTTCGCAATCCTCATCGCACACTGTCTAGCCTGGTTCCTCGTATACAAGACCGAAGCCAGATTAGGAGAAGCACGAAGAGGCATCATGCAGGGTGGAGAGATGAGGTTATGCTTATGCGCAGCATAAGTGTAAGAAATGAGATTCGCTATTGAATTGTAAATGAGGACACGCACCCGCTGTAAACGCTAGAATGGAAACACATTATCGCTACCCAGACGCATAGACTGTCTGATGTGGAGGAGACGAGGGCTAACAGCATTCGTGGCGTTCGCCGTTGGCAGCTGGTGCATGACCGGTTCGTTCTAACAGCTCTTGTTCCTTTTGTGGAGACCGCGGTGGTGTGGACTTCTCGTCGTCCTTGCTCTCCAGCATCGAATCAATGCCAAACTGTGCTTCGCCCCCAAAGTTAGAGTTAGTCCTACGTATGGCATCCGCCATGGCATGAGCCGCGACATTCGGCCGCTCAACCTGCCCAGCGTGCTCTGGATCTTCAGGCGGGTTAAACAACGCAGCCTCATGGTCGTCAAAGTCCTGACCCGGGTTGACAGTCTCGTACTCCACGAGCTTAACAATACGGTACATGCCAAACGCCAGCAGCGTACCCATCAGCGGCC